TCCAGCTTCGGGCTCCTGCAACTCCTCCCTCCAAAATCTAACAAATGCGGGTTCTGGGATCATTGAGATGGAAACGGAGGGGGAAGGGGGACAAAACTTCCCCCCAGGGTAAACACAAGGAGCCTCGCCCTCTCCCACCCCACTCCCCAAGGCTTCTCATTACTCAAAGGGCCAGGTTTCCGCAGACTCTAGGGAGGCAGGAAGGACTGTACCCTCTGGGCTTTGCTACAGTCCTCGGCAGGAAGCCAGGGCAGCCCGCCACCCCAAGCTCAACCTCGGGAGCTGGGGTCCCACCGCTTGGCTCTGACTCAAGGGCTAAGTTAGACAAACCCCCCACCTCCAACCGTGCTGGGGGAAGGGAAGGAGGGAGGGGTGATGTCGAGGGGTGGCCGCGGGCCTTGACAGGTGTGAGCTTGTGAAGGCAACTGCAATGCCGCCTGTGAAGGGGGATGCGTGCGTGTGTCCTTGGCACCACACACCTGTAGCTTCCCTGTGCATCACGTGACATCACACACTGGTTGTTACAGAACTGCAGTGTGTGGATAAACCGCAGTGCAAGCTGTGAGTGGGGAGTGTGAGTTTATAAACACACCCCACACCCAGCAGAGGTACTCAACCCCCTCATCCATCACACTCCATCTTCCAGTCTGCCTTGCGCTTTCCTTGAAAAACTCTAGCGGGCTCCCGTCCTCCGCAGCCGGTTTCTAGTACCCAGGAAAAGCAATCCGGACGACATGGGTGCAGGTGGGCGGTTCTGGGGCCTCCGTGGATGGGGTCTCCAGGACTGAGTGGGGTAGGCAGCTCCTGGGACCAGGTGGCAGCCATTTGGAGCGAGTGGAGTTGGTGGGCAGTGTGGGAGAACAATGGCAGATCTCCCAGTTACCCCAGGAGCAGCCATGAGTTCAGGCCTCTGAACTGACAGAGCCAGGCCTGGATTGCCAAGGAGGGTGAGGGCGGAGGGACTGGGGGCCGCTTGGGAGGGAAGATGGTGCTGAGCGTGGGTGTGAGGACAGAAGGAGAGGCAAATAGAGAGAGAGAGAAGGGGCCTTTTCTAGCTTCTGACTGAGGGACCTCCAATGCAGCCCTCCGTCCCAGCCCCCTAGCTGTCCCTCAGACAGTCTGTGGTGTCCCAGCTGCTTTAGCCTTGCACACCTCAGAAGGAGACCTCTGCTTAGTGGGCTCATACACGTGGCGCCCACTTGAGTCATAGACAGATTTAGGGTAGGGGCCCTTTGGGAGAGTTCTGGGCCCAAAAGCGCTCCATCCCGCATGACGGGGTGTCATACTTACCCCCAAACACGGATCTGGCCTGTATTATAGTTGGTAGGTTGCGCCAGCTGGTCTGGGTGCGACCCTCACACAGCATGGCCTCAGGACCCCAGGTCTGTGTGGATTTGGGGGTCCGAAGGCCGCCCCCCACTCACTCGCTCTGTTGTGGCTCACTTGTCACCGGAATTTGATCGGAGTGGCTCCCTGGAGCGGAGGGAGGAAGCGGGGCCTTTCTGCCCAGACAGGTCTGCTCATTCCTCCTCGCTCCCCGCATCTCACTAATTTGTTGGTTTTCTCTCAACTATCTACATCCTGATCTATCATTTCCGGCAGCCAGGCTCAGAAGAAGGTTGGGCCGCGCGCTTTCGAAATCCCACAGTTCCGGACAGACCTGGGGCTTGTTGGCCCGGCTGTGACCCTCCGTGGCCCCCTCCTCCCAGGTCCACTTGCAGGAGGCCACCGGAGGGACGACCTCTGCGCGGGCGCTCAGTGGATGTGGGACTTGCAGCTCGGGTGGCAGAGATTGGGGCTCAACGAATTTGGGCGCAAAGTTGGGAGTCCCGCGCAGTCCTTTGGCGCTAAGAGAGGAGGCCTCGCTGGAGCGGTCTGGCTGGGCCACAGGACCAGGAGAGCGCGTGAGGTGGGCCTCGGCGGGGGTCGAGTGAATGCTAAGGGCGGACAGGTGGCATTGGGTGGTTGGCGCTGGAATGGGGTGTACCGAAGACCCTCTTCCCCTTGAGGCCAGGTAGGGCTAAGAGCAGAGGGCTGGGATCTGTGAGAAATGAGAAACTTCTGCCTGTCTGAGTGTGAGCGCGGAGTTGTCTGTGAAGACCTACAGAGTTTGGAGTCGCTTTGGAATGGGCTTAATGTGTCTAACGTTGCTTTGCCCTTGTCTCAGCAAGCGGGACTGGGGAGAGGTGGCAGTGGTGAAGGTCAGGACTTAGGAGCTGGCTGGGGGAGATTGTGTTGGGGTCCGTCCCTCTCCCCCCCTGGCCCCCCCCAGCTCTTCTGGCTGGACAGTCTGTGCCAGAAAGTGTACTGGGAGGAAAGAGCTGTGAGCTGCAGCTTCTGGAGGGGATCTTGGGGTCAGGAGGCAGAGGATGCGTCCTCTGCGGTCTGAGAATTCTAGCTGGTGCAACTGGAGGTGTTGGTGCGTCAAGATACATATGCTATGGATATCTCAAACTTGGGTGCCCCAACCCCCAAACACAGTGCACCCACCAGGCTTGTCCAGAAAGAGGGGAGTTTTTTGCTTCTGGGAGCGCCACTTCCGCATTTCCCCGCTGTTGGCAGAAGCTGGTGGTGGCCTGGCGGGCCTACAGTAGACTTGCTATATAGCCTTGGTGCTGTGGTGGAACTCTCAGGCCCAATAGACACGTCTACACTTTGTTAGTACCCGGCCAGCACCAAAAGGACTTCCAGAGAAGGAACATTGGATCTCTGCTCTCCTCTCTTATAGAGCCCCAGCTCGTGGAGTTGTGTCTACAGTGGAGGCCCTCAGATGACAGCCGGGTGAGAGAGAATAAAGAACAGGGGAGCTCTGTCCCTGCCCATTGGGGGCAGTTCCACCAACCAATTCTAGCTCCTATCTGCAAGATCTCCCACTCTTCCACCTCCCAAAAATAGCCATTCCCTAACTCCAAGGTGCATTGTTCTCAGACCTAATCCCCAGGACCCCTTCCAGAAAAGCAGACCCAAGTTGATTGTGCATGCGGGGACTGGTGTCTATTAGACTGGAGAGTAGTGGTGGTGGTGACTAGAGGCGGTGAATGAATGCCATGCTGGCCTGCTGTTGTGGCTGGGAAAGAGGCTACAGATCAGGAGCCAGGAAAGTTAACTCAGAGGGCCACAGAATCCCAGCCCCAATTCCAGACTCAGTGTGCCTCTGTCTACAGCCTGCTGTGAAAGGGTCTGGAGCCCCAGAACTCCTTATCCCCCCAAAACCTTGTACAATGTTAATTCACAATTGTATTACTCACATCTCGCTGGACAGTCTCTCACAGAGACCTACACTCCACACAAAGACATTCACATACGAGTATACAGTTAAAACATACACACAGTTAAATTTAACATATAGTTAAATCTAATTATCCCTGTGTTAAATATAACACAGTTACCCCACACATATATAATCATACCCACAATTACAGATGATACTCGATCAGATCACATTCACACACTTCACCAAAAAATACAGTCACAATCAAACAGAAGAAAAACCTTTATGAAGGTTTTTAAAAAAGAATTCACAAAGAAACTAGTATGTCACCTCACATACTCCTATGTGATTCATATACAATTATTAGAGGGATCACACATTTACCCAAAGTGACACGATCACATTCACACAAAGTTACATACGCACGACTAGCCCTGAAAGTGGAATGATAGTTTCGATTTGCAACTGAAATTAAAACATCGGCATATATGGCAAAACACACAAAAGCACACTTAAACACCATCCTAAACATTCACCATTGTTAATATCTGACTGCTCATGCTTCCCAAACACAACAGAACACACACATACACACACACACACACACACACACACACACACACACACACATCTCTTATACTCCAAGATATCCACATCTTCTCTACTACGAGTTCTTCCTGGCTCTTCTTCCACCCCTCTGCTCTGACCTCTTTGTCTGTTCTCTGTTTCTCACTCCAGAGCCTTCAGATACTGCTCCCCAGGTCCCCGAAGTCCAGGGGAGGTACTAGTGGCTACTCTAACAGTCCAGCCAGTACCAAACACACAGTATCACCAAGGTCCTGGCGCAGCAAAGAGTAGGCAGCTCTCCGGATCCAGAGGGTTTTATTAATTTTTTTTGTCACATAAATTACACAAGCACTTTATAAAATGGTTACACAGAAAACACCTTATAAGTGCATAACTTAACCCCCCACCCCAATGAACAGGATCTGGAGAAATGGGGGTCTGTGTTGGTGAGTGTGTGAGGACCTGCCTGGGAGGACCTGGTGCAGTGAGCTGTGTGCTGGAGGCCTGGAAGGAAAGTGACGCTACTCTGTTTGCTGCTTGGCTGTTGTGTGTCAGATCCTGTGTTACCACGTGACCATGGCCTTGTGGTTTTTTGAGGGGGACCATGCTTCCCAGAGTGTGTCTGGGTGACTCCTTACCTGTGCCTGCCTGGCTGTGAGACTCAAAGGTGTGTAGGTTGTGGCCCCTTGTTACTGTGGTCCGCCATGGGCCCCTCTTGTGTGATTCTAAATAACACCAGGAGAGAAGGGGCCATTGTCTCCATGTGAGTATGTGCGTGTCTGTGGGTGTAATGGGGGCTGGATTCAGAGGGGCTACCCCAGGGCAAGTTCAGATGGCAGCTTTGAGAAACCCAGAAATTTACTCCCCTTGTCTCTTTCTGCCCACGCGTTTTGTTTTGTTAAAAAAAAAAAACCAAAAAAAAAACAAAAACAAACAAGGAACAACAGCAACTCGGAATAAAATAAAACAGACGCAAACTAAGGATTCTGAACAGCTCTGGCAGGCGTGGGGCTGCACAGGCTTCTGGGAGGGATTCTTACGTCCTGTCTCAGGTGCCCTTTCTTCTCTTCCACCGCAGGGAGAACAGGGCAGGCAGGAGGGCGCAGGTCGCTGCAGAGGGGCGCGGTTGACCTCCCGAGTGCAGTTCACGGCTGGGAGGGACGGAGGAGAGTCCCGGCCCTGGGCACCAGCCACCCCCGGCTGGGCTGGGGGGCCCGCAGGCTCACTCGCAGGCCGACGCCACGGACGTGACACTGGTGATCTTGGTCGAGTCATCTGACCACGGCTGCAGGTTCTGCAGGGCGAAGAGTGACGAGTTGTGCACGCACAGCGGGTCTGCAGGCAGCGGCTGCGCCAGGCTCTTCTGGAAGGCCTCCTGCTGCAGCTGCAGGAGGATGCGGTTCGCCTGCTGCCTCTCGGCCTCACGCTCCTCCGCGGTCTGCCTCCTGCACCGGGACAAGCCGCCCGCTGTTACCCACTGGGACACAGCCTGGCTCCTGCCGCCCCCGGGGGTCCGGGTCTCCCCTGTGCAGTCCCCAAACACCAGTGGGGAGAGCCCTTCAGCGCAGTACCTTTCCCTCACCCAGAGTCCTAACTCTCCAAAGTTTGGAAACCTGCCCCAAAGTGTGTAGAGGGGAGGTGTCCTCTACTCCAAGGCCCTGAGCCATCCGTTGATGCGCGGTGTCCAACCTCACCAGTTTTGAACAGGGCGGTCAGGACTGGGAAGAAGGTCCCCATAGGGGCCTCGAGGCGAGGGCCAAAAGGACCCCAGACTCCTGGAAACCTGCTCTCGCTGCTTTCCGTGAACTTCTGACGCCTTCCGCCTCCCGCTCCAGGCTCGAGGCCCGCGCCCCGCGTGCCCTGCGCCCCGAGCACTCCCCTCGGACCTGTGATGACTCACTTACTCCGTTTAATGCCGCCCCTCCACCCTGTCAACTGAGATCAAACGTCTGTCTCTAAGGTGGACAGACCTAATGGGAGTCCCCGGGGCTTCCAGAAGCAATTTGTAGGCGATCGATGCAGCCGCACTAGGCCTGCGGGGGCCCTCCCAGCCACGGCCGGCCGTGGGCCTCCTGCGTGCCTCTCCTTCTTGCCTTTTCATTCTGTGAGCCTTTTTGCCTCTGTCTCCCCCTTCCTAGCCTGCATTTTCAAGCTGCCTGGGTGTTTGACTTCCTTTACACTTTGTCTTTCTCTCTCTCTTCTTTCTCACTCCACTCCTTCGTTCCCTCAGAATGAAGGGAATTCGTTTGAAACGAATATGCCATGTTCCTTACCCATGGCTTCCCTTTATTAATAAACAGGGCTCCTTGGAGCTGCGCGTTTCTCTCCTGTCCTCCTGGGGTGTCTATCTTTGTGTTTTGTTTTGTTTTTTCTTTTCGTTTCATTTTCTCTTTGCCTGTCACTCACTGTCTTCCTCTCTCACACTCTCTGAAGTCCCGGCCCCGTAGGCTGCAGCCCCTCTGCAGACTTGGGGAACCCCAGGGCTCCCTTCCACCTACACACACAGCAGTCAGCCCTGTTCCCTCTCTAACCAGCTGGCGGAGGTCTGAGACCGAGTCCCCACCCTGCTCCAGCGGCAGGAATGTTGAAGGGGAGACTGGCTTCCTCTGCAGCCCGATGGGTGGGCACGTCCCTCTCCTTCATTCAGAAAAAGAGGAAACTCCAATTCCTTCCTCCCGCCGCGCCAGAGGCCCGCCTGGTCTGCACCGCGCCGCTGCCTTCAGACAGCCTCTCCCTGGAGCCTGAAGCAGGGCTGGGTGGGCTGTGACTCCCCTGGGCAGGCCTCTGCCTGGAGCCTGAAGCAAAGCCTGGTGGGATGTGTTCCCCTTCCTCCGCAGGCCATACTGGGGACGTAGGGTGCTGGTGGAATGAGCTGGGTGTAGGAAGGTGCACTACACGAAGGATGCAGAAGGCTGCAGCCAGGGAAAGTGCCTGGGCATTGTGGAGGGCTGCACTGCCGTGTGTGGGACTCTGTGGGCCCAGGAGGAAAATCGCAAACGCTAGAGAGGTTGAGGTATGTGTATAAGAAGGAAATTAAATGAGTGTAGTAAGTGCAGTCGTGGGGTGTGACTGGAGCAGGGAAAAATACTCTGTGTGCCTCTCTCTCACACACATTTCCATCTGCTCCTAATTGATCCCCCTTTAGGGGACCTGCCAAACCCCACCGCAGCCGGTGCCGATTGATTTTCTCCTTTCAGGGCAGGGGGCCAGTCGTCTGGGGAGCCGCGTGTCAGCAGACCAGGCCTCCCTGAGGACCCTCGGGCCACCCGAACTCGGGTAGGGCGCAGGAACTAGGCCTGGGCCGTCCTGCCTCCTGGGAGAGCGAGTCTGAGCAAACAAAAAGCGCCTTGGGCCGCTCAGGGCTGGGAAGCCCAAAACGGCAGACTGTTCTCCAACCCGTTAGTTTCCCCAAGCAGCAGGAGAGCTCAGCCGAGTCTAAACGGACTGAGTGTGCCAGGCGGAAAGTCCTCAAGTCTCAGGAAAAACCGATCCCCGCGCTCTAGTGCCATCCTGGCCGCCAGGGCCCGCTCCCCAGGTGCCTGCCAGGGCCTGTGGCTCCCCAGTCCGATGGGGGATGGTGATCGAAGGGAGCGGAGCGCCCCAGCCTCTCTGCCCATCTGTGCGCTCACCTCCATTTCGTCCGCCGGTTCTGGAACCAGGTTTTGACTTGCGCGTCGGTCATTTTGAGCGCCTTAGCCAGGGCTGCGCGCTCGGCCGAGGCCAAGTACTTCTGACGGTGGAAGCGCTTCTCCAGCTCACAAATCTGCAGGCGCGTGAAGGACGTGCGAGGCTTCTTCTTCTTGGGGGGCGTCCGGTTCTGATAGGGGTGACCTATACGGCGTGTTACAGTGAAGGGTGAGAGGGCCACTGGAGCGGGAGACAGACAGACGGCAGGAGGCAAGCAGCAGAGCGTCAGGAGGCGTCCCAGGCCCGACACCCCGCAAGTCAGCGAGCCCAGCGCAGAGCAGAGGACCCCAGAGCAGGAGAGTGAGGCTCCTGTCAGCTCTCAGCGCCAAGCTCCCGCGGGGACAGCACCCTTCCGCCCGCCAGCCCAACTTAACGCCGCCACCACGGAGACCTCCCTGTGCCCAGCTCCCGGGCACCCCGAGTGCCCAGCGCAGACATGGCCGCAGCTGCCTGAAGTTGCTCCGAAAGGGAGGGTCTGAGGAAAGCTAAATGTGGAAGCCCATGAAGGCCCAGCTCTCCTGTCTCACAGAAGCTCCCCAACATTAAGAGATCCTGCTAGGTCAAGACCATGGACCAGGGGCCACAGCCTGAACCTCCATCACAGAAAACTGGCACAAACTTCCACCTCTCTGCACCCAGACAGGCGAACATACACAGCTACACAGACAAGCTCTCCAGGGGCCCACAGGAGACAGGGCAATGCAAGGCCCCAGCCATATCCTGGCTCAAAGCCTCACAGACATTTCACTCCTTTTCTTTAAGGCTGAAGCAGGTTTGGGGGGACTGTGTTTCTTCTGGGTAGGTCCTCTGGATACCTCTCTCCAGAGATGGAAACTCTGAGCTCTAGGCTCAGGCTCTGCCTCCCAGGCTCCAGAGGACTTGAGGGGAGCAGGGGAGAGACACTGGGGCCCTGAAGTAGAAGGCCCTTCCCTAAGGCCTAGAACTGCATCTGTTCTCTCCCTGCTTGCCCCTTCAGCCACAGCTCCAGAGTCTGGTCTGAGGTTCCAGAAATGGACCTGCCTGGGCGGCCTGGACCTGAGGTCACCTTGCCCAGGATCTTGCTCCAAGCTGCCTTTTCTACCCTAGCTATGCTCACCCCATTTTCTTCCACCCTAGGCCTTGTAACCCGACAACCCTGGAGCCCCAAACCTTGCCAGCAGCGGCCTGGCTGGGCCTCCTGGCTCTCAACTCTAAGACCCAGCCAGCAAACCCGCTCAAGTCTTCCCAGGTCAACCTGCTTCCCATCGGGGCTTGACAGCCTGGATTGGAGGCCGAGGGTCGCTGTCCCAGATGCCAGGAAAGCTAAGAGGAGTGATAGGAGGAGCCAGGAGAGGGACCCGCGCGAGAGCCGAGAGCGGAAGCAAAGCGGAGTGAGCTGGGCACCGGGAAGGCGCGGAGCAGCGGCGGCGAGGGCGTCAGCCGAGGCCTGAGTGACCGTCCCGGGGGCCGTCCTCCCGCCGCCAATCGATCGCTGCCCGGGACGGTGCATTATTCTCGCCACTGGGAACAGAACTGCGCTCGAGATGACACATAGAGTCCAGATAAAGCAAAACCGAAGCGCAAGCCGTCCCGAGCGACTCAGCCCGCGCAGCCACTGCCTGGAACGCAACCCACAGCCTCGGAGGAAGGGCTCGCCGGCTCTGCGCCTTTCCCGGGACTGGAAGCCTCTGCTGGGCGGGCGGCGGGGCCCGGAGTGAGTGTGTGCATGTGCGCGCACAGAGGCAAACGTGAAGAAACCTATTCTTTCCTTGTGTCCCGGGCGAGGGGAGGGAGCCATGTGGCAGCCTGGGCCAGGGAAGGGCGACCAGGACGGCGAGAACTTGAGTTTGTCCAATCGCTCCCCTTCCTCAGACGTCCCTGACCCCCAAAGGCCATGGAAGGTGGTCATGAAACGAGAGCCCTTTCGCTCTGCCTGCCCCGACTCTGGGGTCCTGAGAGGTAACCAGGGGTGCTCCGAGGAGCTACAGTCCTATAGCAGGAGAAGCAGAGAGGAGCCCTGGTGGGAGAACTCTTAGAGCCAGCCTATGCGGTGAGCACAGATAGGTGGCGGCGCCTGAACTTGGGGAAGTCTGAGAAGGACCCGGGTGCGCAGTGGGGACCGCGGGGAGCAGAGCGGGGCAGGGCGGCGCGGAGTCCCAGCCCCGGCCAGGCCAGGCGGAGCGCGCTGGCCGGACTCACCTGTGAACCTGTCCTTTGTGTATCTGCGGTTACTCTCCATCCAGGGAAAGGTGAGGCCAGTGAGGTTGTTGACGCCCGGCACGGCCGGCACGGTGGGCAAGCCAGTGGCCAGGGACTGGGGGTGGGCCACGGCTCCAGCCAGCGGCCTGTGCGCGGGCACCCGGATCACTCCAGCGGCGCTCAGCGCCCCCCCGCCGCCGCCCCCGCCGCCGCCCCCGCCGCCCGGTCCGGGTCCGCCGGCCAAGGCCATGTTCACGTTGTAGGAGCCGGCCAGAGGGCCCATGCTGCAGGCGCCGCCGCCACCGCCCGCCGGGCCGCCAGGGCCTCCAGCTCCGTAGGCCCCCGCGCCCCCGGCTCCAGCCCCAGCCGCGGGGCCCCCACCGCCGCCGTAAGCGTAAGCGCCCCCGACCAAACAGCCAAGGCCATATTCCCCGTCCTGGAGGCGCGAGGCCGGCCCCATGCAGCCGCCTTGGTCCGGGCTGTTGAGGATCTGGTCGATGCCGAAGCTGATGGGCTCGGCATGGCCCGGGTGGAGGTGGTGCGG